GATACTTTGGTGTAACAGACCTTCCTGTCTTATTTTTCCTATGCTCACTAGAAAACTTATAGCAAGTTTCTGTTGAGATGTAGCAGAGACATTTTTTCCTTATGGGTTCCTCAAGTTAGCAGAAAGCGATTCTGTGACATTTTTCTGGCATGGGCTTCAAATAGTAGAGAACTGATGTGTACACTCTCTGGAGGGATATTTGGGATAATTTTTCCAGATAAATCACTGAACAACCTCAAAGTACACATTCAGAAAGAAGACTGAAGGGAATGAGGAGATGATCCAGATTAAATGTGTGCTGAAAGACAAATAATTTGCCTTTGGTCTTTTGATCTGACAGCTTCCCTGAGGATCCGAGACTGCAAGGTGAGGAGCAGATTCTGGGTTTTCGTAAGGGCAAGTTAAATGGGAAAGAGCCTATACTGGTAGGTCCCAAACTGAGTGTTTCAAAATGATGTAAAGTGAAACCTTGTAACTAAAAGTGTTTAACTGATCCACTTAGTTTGGATAACCCCGAAGTGGGGAGCAACACCACACCTAAACCAGGCTGCAGATCTGAGGCAGCAGCAACTGATGAAAAATTAGCAGGGGACTATAATCAGCAACAAGAGAAAACTTGAAGGGAGTGACCCCCTTGGGCTGTCCCAGTTGAAATCAGGGCTGCATGTCTGAGGCCTAACAAGCACAGGAACAGTGATGACATTAAATAACAGTCTGCCTTTTCAAAGTAAATTTCACTAACAGGGAATTTTGTTTTAGAATCACATCTGTATTTTCTACTCCTCTTCTTCTATCTTCAGCTTATTCATCTTCTTCCTATGTTTTGAAGTCTACTAAAAGCCTTCATTCAGCAGAGTATGTGAACAGAATCTTTGTTCAGTAAAATGCTTAATTATGTTTCTCAGTGGTATTCTTACAAATGAGTGAGGAGCATGTGTAGTACTGCACTGGGACCAGTTCCTGTCCTTGTGAAGGGCAAGAATTAAGCACAGTCTTACTCATGTATCTCTGCAGTTCTTTCTCCTCTTCCTTCTAACACTCATCCTCAGCTGAGGACAATATTCCAACCTCTGAATGACTTGAAGGCAAGACCCCTGTATCTGAATATAGTAGCTTCCATCAACCCCCCTGTAAAATGTCGTACTCTGGGTGTTGCAAGCATCTGTTTGGAACAGATGGCCAGGTAGGAAGTGTGGCACTCAATTAAAATTCACTGTAGCACCATCTTAGTTTTCATAGAGTCACAAGAGGTGCAGGCAATTCTTAACTGTCCTTTTAAAAGTTTTTTTCTCTGCATGGCCCTATAAAGAAATAAATACCTGATGATTTGGGTAAAAGGTATTTTTAAATATTGTTCTGATTTCATCTGGCATAAAGCTGTCAGGGTTTTGGAGGGAGTATGAAATGGCAGACCCTGAGACTCCCAGTTTTCACATTATGTATGGCTTTGAGATACTGCTGTCTTGAGAAGAAAGTACATGGATATTTCTGTCCAGTTGATACTCGATGAAATTTTTATGATTATCCTATTCATCTGATGAATTATTTTGAGCTTTGCTAGTTTGGCACCGACCCGCGCAGCCCGGGAGGAGCAGGGGTCTTGTCAGAGCGAGAGGCAGAGGAAGGCGGGCAGGTCCCTGCGGGCAGGCAGAGTGTGACTGCCCACGGGTCCGGCAGAGGGAAGTGTTGTTCTGAAATACCTCCCTGCAGGGGAGCCTTTGTTGGTCACTGCGAGCCACGTTACTGCACCAGCAATCAATGATCTGGAACATGGGATTTATAAATTGTCAGTAGAAGACAAAGAAACTTTAGCAAATGCCAGAAGGAGCAAGGAGCAATGATCAGGATGTGCCAGGAAATTAAATGAAATCATATTAATAACTTGTTATTAATATAATTTAAGAGAAATAAAATGGTTTTTATTCTCTTAAGGAGAATAAATGATAGTATGGAATTTTAGGGGTTAAAGAGTTGTGGTTCGATAATTCATGCTTCAGCTAAACATGCAGCTGTAGCCTTTCATATGGAAAGACAAGATCCTGAGAATCAGATAGACAGAAACTCACTTGGTGATCACAAGGCAAGTTGTCATAGGGTGCTTTATTTACAGAGCAGGCTCAGCTTCAGATACTGCTGCCAGCATGATCACTGATCAAGATGCTGCTGCTCCTGCAACCCCAAGCACTGCTGGAGGGTTAAAAGACAAGAGAAATATCATCTCTGTAATATTAAAAAGAATTTTCAATAGAAAATACTTTAAAGTGAAATTTTTACTGTATTAACCTTTAAAATATACAGCACTTTCCTATATAGCTTTCCCTTTCTTACTACATGGAATTTCCCAAAATTGTACAAGAGAAGGGGTTGAAGCAGATGCTCTGGATACCCAATAGTCACACTGAGCATAATATTTGAAATAATTTTTTTCATATATATATATTCAAAATTGTGTTTGTGACATCTAAATAGCAAGTTAAAAAAGATCAGGGGATGGCAGAATGTGTGAAAGGAAGCTCAACTTTCACAGTATTGTCAAGCTGTTGTTTTTCAGTATCTTTTAGATGGCTGTCACAAACAAATAGAATGGGTGTTGGAGCTTGAAGAACATTTTCCAGATAATGTTGCTTGAAAAAGACTGGAAGAAATTAATCCTGAAATAATTGTCACTAAGCTAACTCTAAAGATGAGCTTGACTGGCTGGGTATACAGTGAGTAGCTGCATGGATAAAACAGGGCTGGTTTTGAGTAAGATGTTAACAAAACATTTCCTTTGCTCAGAGACTGGTGTGGTGTGACTGACGGGCTGAGTCCTCCCCTTGTGCTTTCCTATGAACTACTCAGTATCAGAGTAAAGAACTAAACCTAGATAATTGTGCTGCAATCTTCTGCTCAAGCAATGATGAACCTTATGAACATTAACTTCCTTGTTCTGACTTAATTCAATACTTTGATTCTTAGTGCAAATAGTTATTGGTTTTATAATTTAGGCAAATGTGAATTTGTCTTCCCAATATATTGCTGACAAAAAGAAAATATGGCAGATCCCAGAGAAAGACTTTTAATTGTTGTGTTAGTAGGAAACAAGATTATAAAACAAGATGTACTTTTATTTATTTTGCTCACGGATGGGGAAATAGTCCCTGTAAAATGGATTAAATAATTCCTCAGGGAAACCCTAATAGAGCAGAAAATTTGTCTCACTGATACAGCCAGCTAAGGAGGCGGCAGATCATGAGACAACAGGGAACTGGTCTCCTGGGAAGAGACTGGCCTGCTCTCTGCTGTTTACCAAACCTCACCAAGGACTCTTGGAGCGGTAATTGCAGACAATGCCACGATGTTGACATCTTTGTGGTGACAGTAGCTGTTTCTCTGAGGTTAGATTACTATCAGCATACATAGCCTAAGTAGAAACTGTCAGCCTAAAACAAATACATTCCCTGCTAGGCTACCACCGGGACTGCAAACTAGAAAAACAAACAGTCCTTTTTTTTCAACACACCTCTTCATTGGTATTTCTACAAGTTTGGATTAAAAAGCGAGGCTCCCTTTTGTTTTAATTAGTTTCACTTTTGGCTCCAGTGCAATGCTTGCGCTTCCTCAAAAGTATGACATCTCTTTTAAATTGAAACTAACACTACTAGCTAAATGTGTACTGAATACATATTTGAAAACTGTGAATACAATTTGAAAATTGTTGGCTTTTGTAAAATTTAGTGTCTTTGCTATTTAAAATGAGGGCGGTTTTGTACAGCTGCAGGGAAAAGGATTTTTGTGTTTCACGGAGGAAAAGCAATATTTTGAAAATAGTTCCTTTTCCCACGAAATTGATGACTGGACAGATAATAAACATTACCACAACAGAGCCAGTGTAAGGAGTGTAATTATACTGTAAACAGAGTTTAGACTAGGTCCTTGCAAAGGTGTTACTAATAATGAAAATATGTCAGGACAATTACTTGAATAGAGTGAGCTGTTTGCACGATTAGGAGGAGGGAAACAGAGCCCGTTTGTCCCAGTTTTTGTAGAAATCTAGGTAGGAATCAAATTTTTTCCTTCAGGCTTTCATGCCTTTGCCCAGCAGAACTGGCCTCTTCAGACATCTGGAGAAGGGAGCTTCACTGCCTACTGGAGGAGGTGCAGTAGGAAAGTCAAATCAATTATGACTTTTAAAAAACGTTGTGTTTATTTGTGAACTTTATAATTTCGGTATCAGGTTTTTAGTGGAACTAAGTGCCACAAAAGAGTCCAGTCGCACAGACTTTTGACTGTTCCTGTCAGAAACGGTGGCCGGCGTTGGGTGTCCCTGGCCCCGGAAGGAGACCCCCGGCGCAGCAGGACATTCGCAGCGGCGGGGCCGCGGCTGGGCCGGGAGCTCATCCCGAACGGACCCGCGCGGCACCGCTCCCCAGCATCCCCGGCACCGCTCCCCAGCATCCCCGGTACCGCTCCCCAGCATCCCCGGCACCGCTCCCCAGCATCCCCGGCACCGCTCCTTCCGCCCGTCCCCAGCGGGGGTCGGGGCCGCTCCGGGATCCGCACCCCGGCCCAGCCGAAGCCTCCGGTGGGATTAAATTGCATTTCGCGAGTGTCACCGTGTCTATTTTTATTTGCTAACGGCCGGCGACAATGGCTTTCTCACTTCCTCCACCTCTTCCAACGGCTCGGGTTATTTAAACGCCGGCACGCAGAGGGGGGTTTGCTGCCTGCGGGCCGGCACGGTCGCAGTGCCGCACCGAGGGGTTCCGAGGCGGCCGGGAGCTCCCCGCTCCGCCGGCAGGGGCGGTCAGGCAGCTCCGCAGGTGAGCGGCGGGGCCGGGCCGGGGTCGAGCGCGGCGCTTTTGTCCGCCGCAGCTCCCCCGCCCCGGCCCGTCAGCGGCGCCGCCGGCCGCGCCCCATTGGCTGCGCGGGCGGTAACGTGACAGCGGCGGGGCCCGCCCCAGACGCGCCGGTTGGAGCCGGTGCCTCGCGCTGCGCCGCCGGCTGCCGCGCGGACGGAGCGCGCCGACCCAGCGCGCGGACCCAGCGCCGCTGCGCGGGCGGGCCGGGGGCGGCAGGGCCAGGTAAGGGAGGGGCGGCTGCCGCTGACAGGTGCGCCGCGGGCCCGGCCTGTGAGGGAGGCACGGGCGGAAGGAGGGGAGCGGCGCGGAGCGGGGCTTTCCGAGGGCAGCTCTCGCAGTCCCCGCTTTTCCCGGGGTTGCCCCTCCGCCAGCTGACCGGGAGGGCGCTGCCATCCCGCGGGGTGCCCGGCGCCGCTCGTCGGATGGCCCGGTGAGCCTGCGCGGCGGCCGCCCCGTCCCTCAGCGGCGCCCGGCAGCGGGGCCGCTCACCTGCCGTGGCCCCGTGGGCCCGCCGAGGCAGAGAGGGACCGGGCTCAGGGCGCCGAGCGGGTCTGTGGCAGCCCCGGGCCCCGCGGGCGGAGCTGGGCGAAAACCGCTCTGTGGTTTGCGTAACCGATATCTGCGTGTCCTCGGGTGACCCGGGCGCTACAGGTCGCCTGGGGCCGCTCTCCTCCCCCCCGGGCTCGCCCGGCCGGGCGGCAGCTGCCACCCTTCGGCCCTGGGAGTGCGGGCGGCACCTGCCCTCGGGCAAGGGCCAGGCGGGAGCCAAGTCCCAGCCTCCCCGCAAGCGAGAAAAGAGTTAACTCAGTGTTGAGGCCTGACAGTTATGCGTGTCGAACAAGAACCGTCCTATTTGTCGTTGTCTACCTTTCTCCTGCCTGGCCAGTGCGTTTCTCGTCCCAGCTAGTCAGGGATCTTGTCGCAGCCCCTTGCGTGGCAGCCTCGCTTTGCGCCCTGGCTGAGTTGTGCAAGTGGCGCCAGGCTGACTTTGTGCCCGTCTTCTCAGGGAAACTGGGGCAGCTTCCTGGCTTTGGGTCAGAATCTGGCCGTAGTGAATGCTACAGTTGACCAGTTATGTAGGACTGATTAAAGTAGACTTCTCTAAAGCTTAATTTTATATTAAGTATGTAATTAATTATGCTGATAAGGTAAGCCGTGTTTGAATTGGCCCCTAGTGTGGTCATTTAAAACTATACCTGTGAGGTAGTCATTGAACAAGCTAGGTTTATTATGGTTTCAAGTATTCATGCTGTATCTTCTGCTGACTCTCAGCTTGCTTTGTTTGCTGAAAGGGTAAGGTAAGACATCAATTGTTTCAGGTGTCTTGGAATTTTTTTCTTAAGTACCTTCCTAGCAGGGAGGGCAGCAGATTAGGCCTTACTGATCTGTCTTGTTTAACTTCAAGAGAGTGATGAAGGAAAGCCCATGAGGTTTCAGTGATATCTTACAGTACTTGTAGAATTTATTAAATATCGTCCATCTGTATTGTACATGTTTTCTTCCAAATCCATGTAGCTCAGATGACAGCGTGAGGAATAGAAGAGGTAACTTTCCTTCAGTATCTGTGGCCCTGAGCAGTGCAAAGGGCATGAAATGAAAAGAGAGTGGAAATGAGAATGATTATGGCAGAGAACCAGTAGTTAGTATATGATACAGGGGGATTTTTAAGAGTTTTCTTGAGTATTTGAAGCATTCTGTTGTAGCCAGATAACAAATGTTTTTTGGAGAGTTTTACACTAATATATATTTTTGCATTCACATAATGCAATTGACTTATAACATCAGTAGGATTCATGTAACTTTTAGAAATTGTGCAATATTAACTTGCTAGTTCCCTTACACTTTTGAGAGAAGGGAGTTACTGGTCTGGCTTGTATTTGTTTCCTCTTTCAGGAAAACATGGTTTTTACGGGGAGAAGATTGCCTTTTGTTTATTGCCAGTTACCAGTACAGCTGTTGTTTGAAGTTAATGAAACAATGTAGAATAATTTTTGGAAAGGGACCAATAGTGCTAAAGAAACATCCATCTGTATTCTAGCGTTGCAAAATGAACCTTGTAGAGCAGTATGTTACTGTCAAAGAAGTATTTTTCTAAGGCGGATGGAGGGGGAAATCTTGTCTGGCTTTAGCTGCTGCTGTACCTGCTCTGCCTGATGTGCTACAGGTAGCCAAAGAGACTGTGGCACTGATAACACTACTTCAGCTAACAATACCTCCTGCTAAAGCCATAAAGCTTTACTCAGCTAGGATTAGAAATGGATGTTTCATGTGACTAAGGGGATAAGGTGTGGTTTTTATGGGTCTCTGTGCTGCCTATCTAAATGTTTCATGCTGCTCTCTGTATTCTTAGCACTAACCTGTGGGCTGTATTTATCCTTAGGCATCCTTATAACAGCTGTTCAGCTGTTGTCTTGTAAATAGTGTGATTCTGCCAGTTGCTTTTGCAGTTATTCTTTTTAAAGATAAGTTAGCAGTCTGTGCTGTGGTCATGAAGCTATTTGGTTCAGATATCATGGGTCGCCATGTAGAAGGTTGAGAAATGTAAAGTGGAATTAATATTCTAAAGTTTACATATGATGTCTTTAATGTTTAAGTGGTATAGGTTGTATAATTCCAGTTAGAGTTTTACTAGACTTGGTGAGTGGGCTTCAGTTTATTGTACTTCTGCTTGGGTTTGGGGATTATTTGCCCCAAGAGTTGTTAGTCTGCTACAAATGAGTTCTGGATTTAATTTTTAGCTTGTTGAAATCAAATTGTAATTCACTATTGAACTAAAGGGTCATAATACTTATGAATAGTTTCCCCAGCTATTTGATTTAAATTTACCCATATGAAAAGGCTGTGCTTTGTAGTGGTGTAGTACTTTGGGAGGAAGGCAGATGATGCAGCTCTCAGTAAAGCTGTTATAAATGCAGAGTTCAAGGGACAGTGCTGGCACACTCTTCTGATGTACACCCACAAGGATTCTAGGGTCTTTCAACAATCAGGAGGGAACTGTGGAGAGCTTGCAATTGACTTTTTCAATTTAATTCTCACTGGTGTTGCTCTGTTTCAAAATAATATATTTGCACACACTGAAATAAATGATATGACCGCATTTCCATTGTAAGGGCTCAGCCTCCAAGTACGTTTGGATGCTGTAAACTGGAATGCAACTTCTTATTCTGAAATTGAGAATTTAGTTGACTCTGAGAAACTAAAAGGATTGAAATGCTGGTAAGGGGTCCAGTGATACCAATAAGAATATGGTAGTAACATAATCTGGTTGCTACTAATTGTGAGTAGAATTTAGACATTGTTACAAACACTTTGTTTCTTTGTGAGATAGTAGTTTGAGTTGTGATTTTAGTTAGCAAAGTTTCAGTTTTGTGACGCAACAGCTACAAAACCACGGTCATGTAGTTTGCTCAGGCTTAATTAAAGTGACATTGATTTTTAGAGCTCTTATTTCAGTTGCAGAAAATGTAACCCCTTATTTCCCAGACATTATTGCCTTGGTTTTCTGGGGAAAAGACCAGTATTCTGTGACAAGTTCAGGTTGTGAAATATTTATTTAGCTACTTTCTGGTAGCTAAAAAAATCATTTGCATCCAAATATGAGGAACTGCTGCGCAGAAATTTAATGGTAGCATATTGTGATTTTAATGCTGAATTATTAGTCCTTTGAACTAATTTTTCTTTCTGAATGAAAGCAAAATCTTAGTGTGTATTTGTTATGTAACCCAAAATATTTGAAGAAGAGAGGGAATTTGAAAATTTTTAACTAAAAACTGTTTGTTTCTAGCCTGTGTTTAAATTATTCATAAGATAAACTTTAATTTCCAACCTATGCCAATGCAAGTGTGAAACAGATTGTTGCTTTTCCAGTGCCTTTTCCAAGTAAATACTTTTTTTTAAACATTAACGTTGTTTAAATACTAACTTTGCAGTGACACTGACTACAAAGTTGGGAAAATTATTGCTTAATTGAAGTGAGATGGGATATGTCAATACTCAAGTGCTTTACCAAAGAGCAGTTAAAAGCAGTGTCTGCTTTACTTCAAATTATTATTTAATTTCATACAAATACTTTACTTTAAAGTTCTTAATTGATTCAGGTGATGATAAAACCTTGACTGTTGTTTTTGTAGTTCTTAAACTTGGCTACCTACCAAAGTGTGTTTCTGATTAATATTGCTATCTGAAAAACCTTACCAGCTGTTGGGTCTCTTCAGACAGCCTGCTCAAAAAAGGGAATTTTGCACAGTTGGAGACTCGCACAGCACACTTGGGTTTGATGGAAGTACAACGTGTGAACACAGGTCCTGAACTAGCTTTGTGTTTGCTCAGGAAACAAAGCAGGATTACTGTGGATTTACTGTAGAATTCAAGTCTGATCACTTGTTTGTGGTTCTGAAACTTAGCATTGTTCTAGGAGATGTTTCTGATAGGTACAACGTGGCTTTCAGCTCTCCTGATCCCGTGCATATGTGCAGCTCTGAACTGTACAGTTATGTTCAGGCATGCCATTTGTACAGACACTACCACACACGGTGTGCAGTGTGAAATTTGTCTTTCAGTCCATTCATTTTATTAAAAGAAGAGATGATGTAGCTGGTTGCTTTGTCCAATTAGTAAATTCATAATGCAGAGTAATATGAATAGGAAGATACTTAAGAGGCTGAGGGGGTTGTGCAGCCACATTGCACACTGCTGGAGGATTGGTAAAGCCTGTTCAATTTCCATTTCAAGCAGGCTTGTATTTGACTCTAGTCCCAAGTTTTTCTTTTTCTTACTTTGGGGTGGGGATATTCTTTAAAAAGATAATAAGATGGGTTTCAGAAGAGCTGGCATACAAAAAGAGTGAGTTTGCATCAGATATTAATTGGAAATTTATCTGTTCTCATTATTCTAGTTAGCTGTTTAGACCAAACATCTAGAATCGAGTGTTTCAGTTTGTCAGGCTGGCATTCATGAGTAACTGTCTTTCCAGTGAAACAAGATGAAAACCTACTGCTTCTAAAAGGAGATATGAGCCACTACTGAAAATCCAAATCAGCTTTCTGATGTCAGAACTAATAGAGTGAAATGTGTTTCTGTATTGCTGCCCTGATAATTATATTTTCCTAGATGCAATTAAGTTCTTGTCTGTGGAAGTAATAATATTCCCTTCTAGAAAGTTCTCCATTAATCTTACGCAGCATCAGGAAAAATTAAAACTAAAAGACCATTTTTTGACCAAT